TATATTGATGCAAGGCAAGGTGGTGGAGTGGCTGTAATTTTGCAAGTAGGCAAGTAGAATTCACAATGTTGTTTTTTTCGACGCTTCCGGCAGAGTCTGACCTTCATTTCATCAGGAATGAGGGTACAGTTTGTTGGTGTTCAGCTTTAGGCAATCTTAAAGGCGAGAAGGTACGCAAAAAAAAAGTGAGAACATGAGGTAGACTTTCCGGCCGCCCCCTTTCACCCTATTTTGACCGACGATCACCTTTAAAATGTCCGCGGCCTGAATATCATTCTTTCCATTAGCGTATTGTTCCCGACCAGATTGTGCCGCATGGCTCCAGCGGTTCAGTGTGGTTAAGGAGTTGAGCCTTTAACTACTCAGTGCCACGTGGACGTCTCGTCACCGAAAGAGGCCCCGCTCTTGGATTACACATCTGCGATTTCCACGCAGATGACGCACCACTTCGTTTTTATGCTGCAGAAGTCACTGAGCTACTTCCGCACAGTCAGCAAATTGTTACACTTATATGTTATGTCATTGACCACGGTGATGTGCTGATACAACCCTCCTTAAGCTGTGTCACCAGAGGGATAGCCTACGTATCAGGCCTGGTCCGTTTTGACGATGGCTTAACATTCGTTTCTGACACAGACCCGACATCCGAAAAAATTCTGGTTCCGAAGGACTTAACGTTGGCTTGCGTCGCTATACGGCAGCCTTTCGCTGCGGTAACTTTTCAAGACGCTTCCCCTAAAGATCACCCTGTTGAACGTTACCCATCCATGTCCACTCTCAAAGCTACCATCAGCTCTGACCTGACCCCTTCGCAGACCCAACAGCTGCCTGCCTTGCTGACTAAGCACAAAGCTTCGTTTGACGTCCATTCTCGTATTGGGACAGACTTGCGTCACCACGCATCGGATTGAGACGGAAGGTACGTCCATCGTTCTTCGTCGGCCATATCGCGAATCTGTGGCTGAGTGAAAGGTTATAGAAGAAAACGTTGACATTTTGAGACGGAATATCATACGCCCCTCTGCTAGCCCTTGGTCATCACCTGTCGTCTTAGTTCGAAAAAAAAGACGGTTTTGTGCGCTTCCGCGTAGATTAGCGAGCACAAAACAAGATCATGCGCAATGATGTATACCCTACGCGACGTATAGTTTACGCCTTGGATTCGCTACAGGGAGTTCAAAACTTCTCGTGTATCAATGTACGTTCGGGATACTGGCAGATACCAATCCAATGCATGAAGACGATAAAGAAAAGACTGCGTTTTCGACACCAGGCGGACTTTACGAGTTCAATGTAATGCCCTACGGCCCCTGAAACGCGCCAAACACATTCGGCCGCATGATTGACACCACCGTTATGCGTGGCCTGAAGTAGAAAACTTGTCTGTCCTATTTGGACGACATCGTTGGTTTCTCGTCAAACTTCTCTCAACACTTACACCGTTTATACACTTAGACCGTTTATGCACCGCTGGCCTTTAGCTGAACACGAAGAAGTGCCGTTTTGCCAGCAAGACAATTAAGGTCTTAGGCCACATTGTGAGTAAGGATGGCAATATATAGTCCTGATCTCGATAAAATATCGGCTGTTCTTCACTTTTCTCGTCCTAAAAGGACCAAGGACTTACGCAGTTTTCTTGGCCTTACCTCCACAGTATCTTCTCGAAAAACACGAATTCCAGTCATTGATACATTAACTACCGAAACCTAATGTGGTCCTTGGGGACTTGAATGCACATAATGGTCTATGGGGCGACTCTCGCTGCGATGCACGAGGTCGCTTAATCGAACAGTTCCTCTTTTCTGCGGGTGCGTGTCTGTTGAACAGAAAAGAGCCAACATACTTTAGCCTCGCCAACAAAACCTACTCATGCATAGATCTCAGCATTGTGTCCCCATCGCTTGTACCCCTACTTCAATGGAAAGTGATCAACAATCCTTTCGGAAGCGATCACTTTGCGATAATTTTAAGTACACTACTAGAAAAAGGTCCCCCACATGTTCCCAGATGGCAGACAGACAAAGCGGACTGGGAACAGCTTCACAAAACCACTCGTTTAAGTTGGACTGACATATGTAGGTTAAACATAGATGAAGCTGTGTAGTACTTCACAGCTTTTCTTTTCTGACGCAGCAGCCAAGGGCATACCGCAAACATCTGGTATGCCTGGCAAGCGACTCGTCCCATGGTGGACCATTGAGTGTCGGAATACGCGAAGGGAGCAGAACAGGGCATGGAGGTTGCTTAGAAATTCACCGACAGCCGAAAATCTCGACACTTTCAAGAAAATAAAGTCTCAAGGCAGGAGAGCGCGTCGGCAGGCCAGAAAAGAAAGCTGGCACAAGTTTTTACCAGGGATAAATTCATATACACAAGAGGCTAAAGCCCGGAACATGGTTGGTAGGGTAGCAGGAAGACAAGTACACTCACTCCCACTCGTAAACACACAAGGTGACAGCCTGGAAGATCAAGCGAACTTTCTCGGTGCCCACTACGAGCAGGTGTCTAGCTCATCACACTACACTGAATCTTTCCAAATATATAAAGCAAAGATAAAGCAGAAACTAGAACACAACTGTACAAACTACGAGGCACACAACCAACCTTTCAAGTTAGCTGAGCTACAAACATCACTAAACTCCTGCAGTAATTCTGCCCCAGGCAATGACCATGTCACGTATGAAATGTTGAAGAACCTGCCACTCAAAACGCGAAAAACATTACTCTCCCTATACAATGCTATCTGGCCTTCTGGCACCATCCCTACTTCCTGGAAAGAGGCTATAATTATTCCCATTGTAAAAGAGGGCAAGGACCCTTCCTCAGTTTCAAGTGATAGGCGCATTGCTCTTACAAGCTGCCTTTGTAAACTTTTCTAAAAGATGAAAAACCGCCGACTTTTACATTTCCTTGAAACACACAATCTGCTCCACCGATTCCAATGTGGATTTAGAGAGGGCAGTTCCACCACCGACCATCTGGTGTGCATTAAGGCAGAGATCAGAGACGCTTTCGTCCACAAACAATACTTTCGTCCACAAACAATGCTCAGACGCTTTCGTCCACAAACCAACGGGCTCACTGAGCGCTTTCATCGCACTCTGTCCGAAGTGATAGCCATGTTCACCGAGCCATAACACACCAACTGGGATGCAGTTTTGCCGTTCGTAACGTTCGCATATAATAAAACCGTACAACGCACAACTGGTACTCGCCAGTCTACCTTGTCTACGACCGATCGCAATCTTCCTTTTTTGATGTCTCGTTCTTGACAGCCCCTGTTACACCATCTGCATCCTCCTGTGAACAATACGTGTCCCGCCTCTATCCCTGCCGCAAGCTCGGCAGACTCAATACTGAGGAGAGACAGCAAGCCCGTAAAAATCTGCATGACGCATCCTACACCACTGTGATCTTCGTCCCGGTGACGAGGTGCTACTCCAGACACCAGTTCGCACTCCTGGCTTGTGCGACAAATTTCAGTTTCGGTTCCTCGGCCCATACGCAGTCTTAGAGCAGACCTCGCCCGTTAATTATCGCGTTGAACCTGTGATTGCTCCAAGTGACCGGTGCTGTCGCGGTACCGAGATGGTGCATGTCTCGCGTATGAAGCCTTTCGCAAGGCGTTCTCCGCATCTATAAGTTGCGGCCAGCATGGCCACTCTCGTGTGCGAGGAATTAGTGTGAGCAATAACAACACGCTTCTTCATCACCCCTACATAACCATCATCACATAGTGTTCCTCATCTTCATCGTTAGTAGATATAGCCATTGAGTCTGTATTGTGCCTCCAGGCCTAATGAAGGCGTGCAAAAGAAGACTACGTCGCTATATATATATATATATATATATATATATATATATATATATATATATATATATATATATATATATATATATATATATATATATATATATATATATATATATATATATATATATATATATATATATATATATCGCCATTGGTGTGCCATTATAATAGGATTATATGAACGGCATAACATTTATGTTTATATGTAATGTACGCGCACGTCATGAAAACCGTCACCTGGAAAATGCCAAGGTGTAGAAGTGCCCGTCTCAGCATGCATCGCGATAGCGCCTTTGCTATGCTTGCCATGCCATAGATGACTCGCATGTCATAAGTCATGACTTATTGTCCCGCCGTGGCGGTCTAGTGGCTAAGGGGTTCGGGTGATGACCCGGTCGCGGGATCGATTCCACAGCGTGGTGGCTGCATTTTTGATGGAGGGAAAAATGCTGTAGACCTGCGTGCTGAGATTTGGGCACACGTTAAAGAATTCCTGGTGGTCCCAATTTCCGAAGCCTTCCACTACGACGTCTCTCATAATTATATGGTGGTTTCGAAGCGTTATATACCAGATATCAATCATTCATGACTTATTGACATTGACATGTGGGGTTTAACCTCCCAAAACCCCCATATAATGATGAGAGACGCCGTAGTGGTGGGATCCGGAAATTTCGACCACCTGGGGTACTTTAACGTTCACCGAATTCTGAGCACACGGGCCTACAACATTTCTTCCTCCATCGAAAATGAATCATGACTTAACTTATGTAACGCATATCCACCTCAGTCCATGCGATTTCGTACATCTGAGAAACTAACCAAGTGGCCACAAGAGCATAGATAGATAGATAGATAGATAGATAGATAGATAGATAGATAGATAGATAGATAGATAGATAGATAGATAGATAGATAGATAGATAGATAGATAGATAGATAGATAGATAATGCCATGGTTTTAGATCATAAACTTTGGTTTTAATTTTAGTGAGCTCCAAATTGATGTGTTTTGTTATTTACAGTTGAATATGAAACCCATTCCTGCTTTGACTTTTTGCTACCAATTAGTTAAAAATTTCATAGAAATGAGAAAAAAATGTTTTAAGTTCACACACATGAACAGGCCTTGTTGTGGAGGCCTTGGAGGAAGCATATCTGTCACTTTGAAATGTTCGCATTGCAGCCGCATCAAGAAAAAGATCCCGTGTCATGAATACCTGGCCGATTGCCCTGAAACGATGAACGGCAGCTACCGAATCCAGGAGAGAGGTTACGAGGCAATGACCAACATCGTCTGTAATAGTAAGATGCTGATAGGTGGGTACTACGTGCGAGCTTGCTACGAAAAAAAGAAAACGTAGGGAAATGTGACAAACTACACTTATAGGAAAATGTACACTCTAAAAAAATATTTGCGTTGCTCTTTGTGACGTTTGCCGACTTGCCACGTGTGTATGACTGCTTTTAAATATAAATGTGAGCTCTCACTGGGTCTCGTCACTCTTCGACGACACTACAGTGATCCCGAGATCGAGTTCACTCGTCTATTTCAAAAGAGTGATATACGTTGCAAGTCATACGACTCCACACAAAAAAAAAAAATTGCCCGCAGCTTCCCTCGGGGGAACACTGAGGAGGATGCGGAGCATATAATTGGTTAACGGGGTGTTAAAGTGCGACTTACTTGGGTCGATGGCTAAATTGGTTAACGTGGTTGTGAAATGGGGTGTTAAATTGCGACTTACTTGGGTCGATGGCTAAATTGGTTAACGTGGTTGTAGGAGGGGGTGTTAAATGAGTGAACACGTACACACGTATGCGAAAGGGCGGCGCTGGTCGAAGGGACGTCGATCATTGTGTTTGTGGATTCGTTGGAATTCATTTCACCGCGACCTTGGACGTCGACGCGCCGTACAAACCAACCGACGAGCGGCAACTGAGCGAGCGAGCGCCGACCTTGAGTATATATACTGCACGACGGAGCATGCACTGTCAGCTGTTGAATGTTCTCGAAGCGCGACGCCACATGCGCGTCCACTGGAGAATCAGGAGAATTGTAGATGTCGAACGCGGTGTGTAGAGGAGGAAGGGTGCACAGATGGTGGAGGAGTGAAGCGCGCGCGGTGTGTAGAGGAGGAAGGGATGCACAGATGGTGGAAGAGTGGGCGACGGCGCGACGGCGCATGCGCGCGCGTCAGCTGTCGAATGTTCGAGAAGCGGTGCGGACGGCGCGGACGGCGCGGACGGTGCACTACAAGGCGCGAGTATAATATGCTCCGCATCTAAAAAAAAAAACAAAAAAAACGTCAGGCCTGCGTGGAAGACGCAGCACAGTCACAGGGAAAGCTTGAAGAGCGGCCTTTCAGAGCTTTTTCAAAACTCTCATTGTGTAACTAATGCGAGCAAGTGCACACTTGCTGGGTACCCACTAGGGCATTAATAACAAACCTTTTTTGAGTAGTAGGCCGGCAGTTGCTATGCTATTTTTTGTCCACCGTTACCACGAACCCGGTACTCAAAACAGCACCAGCCGAAATTCCGAACGGCCGACCCCATCCGCAGAGCCCAACAATGTTGCTCAAGGATCAGCGTTCATACTTGTGCAATTTTCAATTAAAAAACAATTACTGCGCATGTCTGGGGCACTATAACAACACGTATATATTCTGTATGTTAATCTTTCACTAAAATAGACATACATAAGTAATTTTAGGGACCGTAGAGCTTATCACGCTGCGATGTCCATGCAACTCTTGCACAAAAAGGCGAGTGTTTCCAACGCTTCGCTAAGACGAGATGGTGGTGGCACCTACCCGTTGCCTTGCGTTCTACACCTTATCACCTCTGAGACGGGCCCGCACACCTGTCTCAGGGCCACGCGCTTTGTTTTTCAAAAAAACAAAACTGCCAGATGGGGCTCATGTTTCACATGTGACGTGACTTGATGCGCTCATTCACCTCCGCTGCACGCTCGAGGCACTCTAACGCAGCGCCTCCGGAATACCATTCACCAATTTTCTTGCGCAGAACACCTAATAAATGTTTTGTTCACTCTCTCCCTACGCAAGACTATCATCTTTCGCCGACATTTGAAGATTACATGCAGATACGGGGCCAATTTTTTCTTCTAATTTCGTGTGATGTGGTTTCGGACACCGGCGGCGGCGGCGGCGGCGGGCAACTGCGCGTGACCCCAGGTTTGATCTCATAACAGCTTTGTCTGTAAAAAGAAAAAATGTGAAAGGGCCATTTTGTTTGACGTGCTGTCATTGATCCACCACTAATACACTACATCCAGTATATCTACTAGAACCTCAGGGTTGATAAAAGTGATTATTTGTGTGGAATGAGATCTGCCGTTGATTTTATACTTTTGCATACGGGACTGTTGCATACGTTGCATGAGAAACTCGGTTCGGCAGAGTAAACATGACGGTACTTAGTTTCGATGTCAGTGTCTATCTACAACATCCCACAAATATTTCTCTTTCTGCATTAACGGGAATTTTTTCGAAAGCAAATGAGAGGTGAGGTATTTTGCGAAGATTTAAACGCGCACAATGTTATGTGCGGAAGCACCTACTGTGAATGTCATGGAAACAAGCTATATACAAAACGCAATTAAGTATAGCCGTTTATGTGTGCTGAATGACACCTCTATGACATTTTTACGGGGGTTTAATCATTCCAGCTTTCGAGTCCTCACGCGTTGGTCAAATGACATTCCGTACAGAATAACACGGAGAATAACATACAGAATAACATGTGATACCGGACAATGAAACATGGGGTGGTGGTCATTTGCCTATCTTGAGGCAGAATTCTAGACTACGCTTTTTCACTTACCGGCGTTCTGCGAAAATAACCAATTTGTAGGCATTTCGACGTCATCTATATATCAAATCATGCTGATACTGCCACTGATACGGGTACTCTGTTCGCACTTATTGAGGACAATGGAAACACACGTCACGCTGGGGTAGACTCAGAATACGAGAGAACATAACTGAATGCAGCAACAACGCAACCTAGAAGTAGTTACTTCGTAACTACGGAAGCGAAAAAAACAAAGACAGAAAAGAGCGCTGACTTTCAACAAAGATTTAATGCCGGAGTGGTGTACATATATAGGCAAAAAATGAGAAAAATGGGCATGCGTAGAAGGGTGCAGGAACAACTACTGCGATACAATGTCAGCAAAACACGAAAGAACAATACGCAGTGGAGCTGAAAGGAAATACTTGCGGCATACGCCTACTTTAAACTTACCGTTAATGATAAAAAACCGCATGTTTTGTTAGAGTTTCCAACTTGAGCGATTGCCACAAAGCGCGAGCGGAAATTAGGCACTTCACTTACCCTTTCCCGCCTGCACAAGAATCAACACTATGGAGTGTCTTGGGCTCTCTAAGTGGGTCAGTAACATATGAACAGCCATTCAGGGCCGCGGCTTTGATCCAAAATGTACCGAAACGACCATCGCGAATGAGTTTCGACAGCTTACCACACGCCCAAGTGCAGAAGTGGGTACACTTTAATACATCAGCTACGTAGATCAAGCTAAAGCATTATACCTCATTGGCCCTCCGCACTCACCATCTTGACCAGTTTTGTTCACTAGAAGAATTAAAGGACGCGCTGATATCGTTCCGTCAAAAGACAGCAGCTGAGCTGGGCGGGAGGACATATGATGCTCTGAGAAACATGACCGAGGTGGCCACAAAGCGCTCCGATAAATGTACTGAATGATTCATCGGTAATAGAATGTGTTCCTCCTTCTTTGAAAGTTTCAGAACTTGTTATGGCTCTGAAACCTGGTAAAAGCCCTTTATCTACAAACTCTTTTCGTCCTGTCAGTCTGACAAGTTGGTTTGATTAACTTACGAGAAACGTTATTGACGCTCAGCTACAATGCCGGGGTGCCATGCAGAATGGCCCGAGCTTCTCAACCAGACGAAGTTGCTCCGAGCTTGCTCTGCGGCGGCCATGGCATGAAGACAGTGTGGAGCGCGTCATAGCAGCGTTGATAAAAATGACTACAAGAGTGCGCGTGTCATTGGAAACGCATGTGGGACATTTGCGGCGGTTATCAAAAGAAACACCGCGTGCGAACACGTCAGTGCCACCACTCAGTCAATATTTAATCAACGAGGCGACGTCAGCGTGATTGCCGTGCTGTATTTTTGCCAACTCAACAAGCGCCTCTTACAGGCGTGTTAGTGGGCGTTTGTCCTCTTGCGAACAGCTTCTTTCGTTGCATCTGCAGCACGGAAATTTCCACTCTCGAAGGCAGCAAGGCTGCATACGCAGCCCTCTCGTGCTGCCCGTTTCGCTTCTGTCAATTATTGCAGATAAATATAAGGACAAGTAGTCACCAGGGGCGCTCGCATCATGGCGCCAACGTGGCTGTGATTGGATATGTCGTGACACGTCGTAGCCGCGTGGTGATATTACTTTTACTTCTGCATGCGCGTGTGGTTAGTCTAAGTGATAAAGCTAATAGATTAATCGAGCCGCTAGACGTGAGTAATGCTCTTCGGAAAGAGCAAACGTGGTGGGCGTACCCGGTCTTCGCCGCGGGCGTCTGTCAATCGAACTGATCGACGCGTGAACTTGGACACAAACTCGTTGATTCTGAGAAGGCCCGAGTTCAATTCGTGACTGTGATGGTGCCGGCGTGACTGTTAAGCGTTTGATGCGGTGAACGCGAAGGGGCAGCTTCTTTGCTAATCATACAATTTGGTGAGCATACACTACTTGTGCGAGGCGGGAGCCATAGAGGAGATAGTGATAACCTAGCTTCTTACAGTTTTTAAGCGTGTTGTCTACTCATGTGCGGGGTTGGCTTCAAAGTGAAAACCGCATGAGCTCTGTCTTAATTTTGATTGTACTAATTGGCTGAGTCTTAACGACCACTGGACTGAGCTTTCTTGCTTTTGTTGATAAGGCCTCAATTAATATGCAATTATCTCGGGTGCAATCAGCTAGCCTATTATCAATATGGCGCTATTAAACACAATACTGAATAGAAGGCTACTAATTGTCACCTTACTAGTAAGAGATAATTAACATGATTTTACTTAGCATCCTCATGATTAACGTCTGGGTAATTAACATAGTTTAGTTAGCTCGTCAACTAGCATGCTTTAGTTAGCCGGATTCTAGCTTTGAATAACTTCATTAGCACGGTCTCTTCAGATGTGGCGTAATTACCTCAGCCTTACCATGACTTGGCGTAATTAGCTTGGTCATAGCATGTCCTGACCTAACTATTCATGTATACCGTCAAGCAAAGAAAAATCATGGCGTATCCGTGGAGTGGATGATAATGAGTGAGGCGAAGCTTCAGAGGGTTTTATCGGTAGACCGTGAATCGTCTGTCTGTCTGTCTGTCTGTCTGTCTGTCTGTCTGTCTGTCTGTCTGTCTGTCTGTCTGTCTGTCTGTCTGTCTGTCTGTCTGTCTGTCTGTCTGTCTGTCTGTCCATCCGTTCGTCCACACTTGCTGAGGGAGTCATCGAACTAGGCGGTTACGTACCACGAGCTATAGGAGGTACAGACTCATGGTTTTTGGAGCTTCGCCCCTAATAGCAAATAATTAACCGGCCGCACGTGCGCGAGTGCTAGCGGGCGGTGACAACAAAGACGACGCGCACCAGCCGAACAGCGCGCTACAATGTGCAGGCTGACCATGATGATTAAATCGTGGCCTCGGATTTAGCTGTGGTCGCGATGGTGTGTATAAGACACTCGGCAGCTACTGATCCCAGAGGCCACCGTGCTGATTATTCTAAAACATGCTTACTGTAGGCATTGAAAAGCTTCAAAATAAATTTATACACCCCGTACCTCTAAAAATATATTCACGAAAAGTTCCTGGCACTTCCATTGCATTGGTGCCCTTCTGCACTCCGTGGAAGGACAAACAAATGAAAGAAGATGCCTCTGGTTTGAAAACATCGCCCAACTTAGTCAACCGCCCTTGACGCGTTGACTGGTTCCATCGTAATCCTTTAAACGCAGTGCGCTGTAGGGTGGATTGGACTTTTTCGTACTGTTGGCTCATTCATGAGGGGGTGCCGCCAGAGCTCGGGAAGATCCCGAGTTTCGCGGAACTCGATCGGCCGATCCTGCATATCGCCCCTGGACAGAATGAATGCCCGAATGTATGCCCCTGAAACATGAAAGGTTTTCGAAGGTGTCGGTGCACGATGGAAGCTAGTTTGGATCTTGTTGCACATGTAGACCATGAGAGAAGTTGTCGGAAAATTGCCGCAGCAGTGCTTCTAGACATAAAGAAGGCATCTCACAAAACTAGCTACATACACGTCCTGCATGGGTTGATAGGGCATTGTTGGCCAACATTCAGAGGGATCTCAAAACTGTTGAAAATGAATGGATGAAAAACTTTATTGAACTGTTGAAGAGATGCTAGTTTTTATTGAAAATGCTGATGACAAAAGTAAAGAGCATGAAGGGAATCTACGTATTCCTTGTGGTAACAATGGTCAACTAATTTCTACCTAATTGAGTTATGGCTGAACTGTCACACATTATTCGTACAACCTCGAATTATTCACTTTATGCTCACGACCTGTTAATACGGGCAAAAGATTCGAGTATTGCAAATACTTCAGCATGCGCAACCATATAGCTTCCTAATATTAACTAGAGAGGACTCTGGCTCTGCGATCGTTCAGCAACCATAGAAATGATGAGTAGTACACAGATTTGACTATAGTCTTCGTACTTGAGGGCGGCGAATCGCACTTGTGGCTTCGTTTATTGACGTGTTTCAGTTTTGTTTCGAAAGAAAGAACAAACTCCTTTGAATTTTGTGAGTCGGTTTGAAATGTTTAAAATAAGGTGGTGAAGAACAACCGATGAAACTTTGCTGGTTGTTTCGCGAGAAGACTGCTCCAAGCCACGCAAACACAAACGGAGCCAGAACTACGAAGATTATACAAATTTGTGCGAAGCACCCTGTGTTGCAGCTCCCGTAGACAGTTGCGCCAGAGTTTTCTCTTGTTTATATTTAGGAAACTCTATGTGCCCAACTAGAAGGCCTAACACCGAATAATGAGTTCTTGAAAAGCAGAGGTAGATTCTCTCACATGAAAATCTGCTGTATTTCTTTTGACAAGAGCATTCCTAAAAAAGATTTGACCTCGAGATGGACTCCCCAGGTTTTACTACTTGTGCGAAAGCACAAGTTTTTTGGGTGTTATATTAGACAGCCGGCTACCATGGACTCCGTGAATGAAAGCATTAGAAAAGAAGGTTAATTCATCGGTAAATATTCTTCGTCAATTTTCCGGGTTGAAATGGGGTAGTTCAAATTGTTCTTTCATGCACATTCATTCGGCAATCATCAGGAAGAACATCGTATATGCTCCATTACTATACGGGATATCTCGTAATTTAGACGAAACTTTCCAGATAATGATGGTCGGAAGCCTTAGAATATGTCTGGTTGTACCACGCGCCCTTTGCAGCGTTTTGGTGATCGCGGTGTCTCGTCAATCAACTTTCCAACCGCTTGGGAAAAAAGAAACCGTTCTAGGCACTGCCTTCAATTGGTGACACAACACGCTTATCACCCTTTTTGCCGGCTAGTGAAGGAAAAAGCCGCTGCACGTAACCGTGCCAATATAATACAAATGTGAAAACTCACTACCTGCCCATCAACAGCTGGCCGGTAAGCAACCGTCATTTTTCGTGGCAATTAGCCACTCCTGACAATGTCACTTAGGCTGTATGGTTTGTGACGTGCCCACCACTGAAATAATACGATTAACTTTACCCATCATTAGGCAAAATATGCTTCTCGTATTTACGTTCACACTGATATATCCTATAGAAATCAAAGTTCTACGTCAAGTTTGTATGTACCTAATTTCGAAAAGAGAAAATCTTTTCTGCTTTGTGATTTTGCAACATCCACAAAGGCGGAACTATTTTCTATACTCTCTGCTTTATGCTTCATGTGTGGACAGACGGAACCACTTCGAGGGTAATTTTAAGTGACTCGCAAGCCTCATAAGTGTGCTTAAAAGGCATTCGTGAGAAAAGTGCTCCTGGGGAAACAGATAACAAATTAACATCCGAAATTTGGAAGACATATGCCTTAGCGAAAGATTTACATCGTGATATCGCTTTCCAGTGGATTCCAGATCATTGTGAAGTCACCGGAAATGTCACAGTGATTGTATGTCACATGTAGCACCTCAGAAGAACAATTTGTCTCTATACTGCCTCGTGCGGCTAGCGACGCACAATGCTTTTTAACCGGACTATACTGTTGATTGTCCAAAAAGACTTGCTTCTCTAACGGCGCGCAAAACTCTCATTATATGAGATCAATCCTGGAAAATAATTTAGTATTTAAAATAAAATTATCCGTTCTGTGTAAACAATAATTTATCCACTTCAACAGGGCACCGCCTAAACTAAGATCTACCCACAGAGAAGAATAAAAGCTTACGCTACTAGATGTACATGTGAAGAGACAGATGAATACATAGAAAAGCTTAATCTACACACTGAAACGTACGTTGTTGCATGTTAAAAAATAAAAAAAAACTAAGTAGTTTGAATAGGCGCCCGCTGTCAGTAGCAAATGTTTTGAGTGCATGGTCAACAGGAACTCTTAACATGACTGTGCGCGCACAAGTGCAGCTTTAAAAAAAAAACTCATAAGTATCACAAGCATACAGATTTACATCAACAATTACTGTTCGCATTGAGATACTTTTGTTTATGTGTTTAGCATTGCTTTTAGTGTTTCGGGATGTTTTCATACGTTCAACGTATGGGCAACTGCCCAATGACTGTATTATGTGTTCGGCTTCCGTAAAAAAGTGTAAGATGAACTCTTCTGCAAAGCGCGAACGTTTCTTGCGTGTTAACATTGTTGTTGACGCGTGAACATAGTTTCTGATATGTAAACATTGATTTCGTAAATGAACATTTTTTGTACGTGAACCGTTCGTAATGCTTCATTTTCATTGATAACGTCGCGACGAAAATTACAAGGAAACCGAAGAAGAGTAGCCAGATTCATGCTTGGCACCAAGCTCTCTTTAACCAAGTTTAATTAAAAAAATATTGCACTGACTACGCACTGAGTTAACTGAACGTTAATTTACAAGATATTTCTTGCTGAACTTGAATGGTGTACTAGTGTCCACACTACACATTTCAAATAAAGCTCTAAGAGCTCTTTTCAGAGTTTGTGTTTGACCGGCACTTGGTTCTTTTAGACGTCGCTTTGATGTGGGCTTCATTAATTGTGTCGTTGATACAGATGGTCGTAGAAACGCACCGAAGTTTCGCACAAACTGACGAGTTGTTTCTTAGACTAATGCTTTTTTTATTGCGTACTTAAAACTGCCTTACTAGAATGCGCAATGACCATTGGGGAACATTTTACCCCGTAATCTGACTCAGTGGCTCACAGTTCCTGATTTTTCACCCAAATGCGGTAGACTTAAATAGGAGTTCCAAAAACGGTTTCACTGCTATGAAACTAAATGTTAAGAAGTGTAAAAACTTCTTCCATTTCAAGCCACCGCACTGAAGCAGTACAGTGTTGTTACCACTGTTCCTCCTCTTCTCGTCAACGTGGTTATTGTTCTGGTTTCTCACGCACGATGCGTGGGTAAAACAACTTAATGATGACCACAGTAGGCACGAGTTAACTCGATGTCATATTGCTAGGCCCACTCGGGGACGGTCAGGTGATCATTTAGTTTTGTCACGCTTCAACATATTTTCTTCTCTTTTCGCAATACACATCCATTTGCAGATTTTTACACAGCATACCATTGTCAAGACTGGCACAAGGTGGACGAGTGCGCAAAAGCAATGTCGCCAACGTTGGATCCAGAGAATCCTCGCTCACTGGATGGCAATGAAGATTACTGCCGGTGAGCTTCGCTGCTGCATTTGTAATCATTTTGATAGGTCAATTTTTTTAACAATGAACTAACTGCGGGGCTGCTTAGACAGGCGGACTTAATTAGGGATAAAAGGCGGGTGAATTATCCTGAATGCTTATACTCAGGCGAGTATGAGCCATTTTTTGAAGGAACAATGCCCACGATGCAGTGAGAAAAATGTCCCCCTCGCTACAATGGCCCAAGCTGTCATACTGCACTGGGATATGCTCTCATACTGATGTCGGCTAGGAGGCCATACCTTACTGGGCTATGCGGCCAGGCTACACTGTACTATGCTGCCTTGCTACGCTGCACTATGCTGCCATGCTACACTGTACTATTCTGTAATGCTACACCGTACCAGGCTACCATGCTACACGCTGCTAAGCTGCCATGCTACACTGTACTATGCTGCCTTGCTACGCTACACTATGCAGCCATGCTACACTGTAATACGCTGCCATGATACACTGTAATCGTACGATGGTTTTCGGACGGCAAACCTCACATATCAATAAATCATTCTACACTGTACTAGGCTGCCATTCCACACTGCACTAGGCCGCCATGCTACACTGTACTAGACCACCATGTTACACTGTACTATGCTGCCTTGCTACACTGTACTAGGCTACCATGCTACACTTCGCATGTTTGTCATGCTACAGGGGGCTAGGCAGTCATGTTGCACTGTCTATGCTGGAATATTTCACTGGACTAGGTTGTCATGATATACAGGGCTCAGCTGTCATTGGGTTAGGCTGCCATACTCCACTAATGTATGCTATTATTCTATACGGAGCTAGCCATTGTTTGAGGCAACAAAAAAATGGCAGCATATCCACGGAGTGAATGATGGGGAGTGGGGCGAAGCATTCGTCCGTCCATTCGTTCTTGCTTCCGTCCGTTCCTGCGTACGTCTGTGTAACCGTCCATGTGTCCATCCACCCGTCCGTGCGTGCATCTGTTCGTGCGTCTGTCCCTGCGTTCGTCCATGCATCCGCCCCTTCGTCCGTTCATGCGTCCATCCATGCATCTGTCTGTGTGTCCGTTCGTCCATCTATTCAACACTCCAAGTACCACCATCTCGCATCTTTTCATCATATATTCTCCATATAGAAGCACCGCCATCCAGCGGACATTTCAAGGACTAAACGGGAGGTGGCACATGCACACTTTCTTACGGCTTGCGCTTCGGGTTTACTTCCCACCTTTAACCCCCTCGAGTTCATGGTATATACTAGTTCACTGTATTCATGGCTATGCGGCCCAACGCTCGCTAAACCTTTCTAAAACCAAGGAGGTTACACCCAGCGAGTATAACGTAGCAACCCTTTCTTGTCAGATCGTGCTCAATGTACATGCCAATAGCTGCTAATGGGGATCGCAGCGTGCGCGTTACCTAAAGGCCGAATGCTCCTGTCCCTCATTCCCCCTTAGCAGCCATTAACATTTGCATCGAGCACTATCTTTTATTGTTCAACAACGCACAGAAGAAATCTCTCGCCGGAACCACCTTGGAGGTCAAAATCGTAAGGACCGCTATTTCGGGTATGTGCCACTGGTGGTTACGTACTACGAGAGACGCACAAGCCACGCCATAAGGAGCTTCGCCCCTAAAACAATAGCACTTCACTACGGCTCAGCTTTAAGAATAAAGTGAAAATAATATGGGGCAATCCACAGGTTACATGGGCATGGTCGTGCAATTCAAGCAGGTTAGCACTCCTAAAGCGCCAAAGAAACGTCATGGGGACATCAATACTTTCTACCTCTCTCACTTTCTGTTTGCTAGTGTGTGTCGTGTACTGTAACGCAGGACCCTGTCGGAGCATGTGCGCCAGAGTGCTAATTGGGAGATGCACTTTTCTTGACGCACAAATGTATGCCGCCAAAGAAAGCCTTATTGCCGCGTCACACGGTTTGGGCAGCGCATGTGCAAGAATTTTATTACACCCACATACTTTAACAAATCAGCTGGCAGATGGCGCTGTAACTGTCTCTCTGTGCATGTGCCTGTGTTTCTTTACGTAATTATGATACTAGCACCCTAGAATCGTGTTTTGCGAGTCACACTTCTCTGAAAACTTACGGGGAAAACTATAGGATAAAAAGCAATTCTGCGGCATTTTCGTGCATTGTAGTTGACAGTTTGCTGTGGATAATGTTCACTTTTTTGGGCCACCCGCTGTTATGGATGATTCGCTGTGAATACAACTATACATCTGCCCTGCCTTTCATCTCATGACGTTTAATGCTCAGTAAATTGTGAGCAATGTCCTTAGGGAATTTCGGGGCCAAATATTTCTCCTGCGTCATTTTCTTTTTTTTTTTCAGTATGCGTGACATCGAAATTGCTTGCTACGAGAAGACATTCAATTCGTCCTGCCCACTGCCATTGAAGACGGCCCAGACAGCGGTGAACAGCGTTGTGGATGCCATAGCCCAGCTCGCCGGCTGCCCTTCGTCTGCACACGCTGTCATGGTTTCAAACGGATTTACTGTTCTCCTGGTTGCTGCCGTTATTCTCAGTTGGTTGAGGACGTGACCAGCCGACCGCAAAGAAAATGAACGTCACTGAGTATGGACCTCGCCCCATGGTCTCAATGGCTCACTGCGGTTTGCCATCTTATCAAGAAGCCTGAATTCCGTATATAGCTCTACGGCCGTGCAGATACGAAAGTTCAGTTACTCGCACAAACAGACGCAGTCAGGTTTTCAGATGTGTCATCATCTTTCAAGTTTAGTGTCGTTCGCCCTAAGAATGCAGTTGAGCTCAGCCTTAGTTGACAATAAAGTAGACTGCTTTATTGGCCCAGTCATTTATGCATTGCTGGTAGGAAAGGGAGGAAATTGAAGAAAACTCGCAGTTGTATGTTTGCCGACTGCATCGTCAGTGTACATATGCGATAACAAAGTTCAAAACGCGTTAACGTAACGTTCCCATCTTTATCGAGCAAGATAGCACGTGGCCTACCTTTGCCCGATAAACAAGGTAGTCATGGCGAGGTAGCCGTTGCACTGCATTCATATCATAGAAGTAACATGTCATAAAATCACCGCCACACAAAGGACTAGTACAATGTATACTCGAATAATGGTGTTCGATATGGGTCCACGGCAGGCTATCTGCAGGGAGTATGCTTCAGTCAATTCAGGAACATGCCACCAGTTACATTCTCTTTAATTATCCTCGCAAGTAGCATCTGAGCTATGAAATCATCCCTTGCTTTTCTGACCTTTCTTTGCGTCGAAAGTGTGCCCTTCTATGTCTCTTTACTAACACATGATACACTAACTCGGCATCTAAGGAACAGCTTGAATTTCGCTCATCATGCATACCTCGTTACATCATGACTGTTATAGTTGGAGTTCATGAGGGCTGCTAAGTCTCTAGAGGGCCAAACTCAACTTTTACATCTGGCCAGCCAGAATGCATTTGGCACTGCTATCATTGGTATAGCTAACCTTGAGAAAGTATTCTCCAACGTAATTGAAGCATTCCGGTACTGTCTGTGATTCTCTGTAACCCAAGAGTGCTGATAAAATAAAAAGAACCAATTATGGCGATGCGATGGGTCTATTGGCGCACGAGCTACGAGTGACTATGGAGTGCCAAGCCAGTGGCGTAGCCCGGGGGTGGCACACCAAGTTCCTGCTCCCGTTCCCCAGAGTTTCATTTTTGGCAATAGTACCCAGTGCATAAAATTACACTCGACCTCATCTGCCTGCCCGGCCCTACTTCTGATCATAAGGTGACCCCCCCCCCCCCCCCCCCCCCCCCCATCAAAAAAATATTTCTGCCTACGCCTGTGCCGTCCAGCGTGCCTAGGAAGCCGCCAGGATTCAAGGACTCCTGGCCGTAACCTAGGCGGGGCCATTCGCCCACCCCATCTACTCGCCGGACTCTGAATAAAGTTATTTCCTCCTCCTCCTACGCCTGTGTGTCACGCCTCATGGAATATCGCATCAAAACGAGAAATTAGCCGCCAGTTGTAGGCGTATACGGCTGTAAAATCTCTTAAAACTAAATCTCTTAAAACATGGCATATCCACAAAGTGAAGATAATAAGTGTGACACAGCAGTGGGATCGTTCGGTGTTAGAGCACCACCGCATGGACCCTGGCGCGCACCGGGCTCGGTAAGGCATTGTTGGATCGCGCCCGGGCTAAGCTCGAACCCATAAGCTTCGGGCTCGGTTCGGGCCTCAGCCGGGCCCTTATTAAGCCCGGGTCTCATACATATTGCTATAAGGGTGGCCTTGTTTTGTGGAGTTTAAGATCCTGAAGCGACCCAGATTATGTAAGGTGCCGTAGTTGAGCGCTTCGGCTACTGTAGACCAACTGGAGTTCATTAGCATGTTCTGAAATCGGAAGGTACTAGGCGTGTAGCATTTTGCTTCGTCTGTATACTATATGCAATTTCAAGAAACACGTAATATAATTTTTAACCATTAAGCTGAGTGAAAGACCCTCTTAGATACCGTAAGGAAGGGTTACCAAGTGGTACTGCTGCGTCAGCAACGGTACACTGCTAACGTTATGTACACTGCAAACAAAAAAAAAGCCATGTATCAACGTCGGAACTAACCGTGAAAAACACAAACTGTTATTTGTTTCTCGAAAAATGGTGGACGTGGACGTATAACAACATTCATGTGCTGCGTTTTTAACGAAACGGTGGGGAAGACCGTAAATTAGCACTCCAAGTTTCCGTTCCTGTGCTCATTGCGTAAAACAGAAGAAAATAACGTCAAGACGATGTATATTGTCACGTGGTGCGCTAGCATCCGGTAAGCCGGAAGCAACGCCATTTACGCGACTCGTCGGCGACGGTGGTGTGGCGTCGTGCGGTATTTTGTGGCTTTTGTTAGCACGTAGTGATTCGTTAACTGTTACGTGTGATTGCTTTTGGGCGTAATGTGATCAACGATGCCGCCCGCACGTTGTGTGTTAGGCAGGCATGTTCACGGAGAAAGTGGCTACATACTCTCGAAAATGGATACATTGAGGCTCTGCCATTCCGTGGCGGCATATTGCGCACCATTCTTGGTGGTCAGTGATCTTGTCATTACGAATGTTCGAGGCAAGTGCTCAATTTTCTTTTTTTACTGGGCGTTTGTTTCTTGTTCTTAGGTGTTACCGCTGCATGTGCTGAGCCGTTTACTGCTAAATGAAATGCCCAAGCACACGACGGCCGCTCGGAACAATCGCCGTCTGCGGCGAACTGCGCGCCTTGGGCTCTCTCGTCTTCGTCGAATGTTCGCGGGGCGACACGTTCGTGCGCTGTAAGCGCGCCTTCCGACAACGTTACTAGAACAAGTGCCTTCCGCGGTGCGCCCGGCGCTGCTATGTCTGCCGTGCGTACAGTGATCGCACGTCTATAACGACGGAGCGTCGCGCCCGGAACAGCACAAGCGACATCTGCAGTCGAAAATACGCCACATCTGCACGCGCGGCGCTAGTGATGTACCTGCCTTGCTTTTGTGGCCACTGTTTATAACCGCGGATACAACAACCGCTTTGGCCGTCGAAAGTGCCATGAACGATTTAGCGAAAGAAAGAAAAAGTTAGCAAAAAAATGAATTGAACCGTTCTCGATGTAATATGATATCACGAAACGAGAATAACTTTAAAGTAAAAAAGGCGCCTATCCGGGTGATGGCGGTTTTTTTTTTGTTTTTGTATTATTTTGGTTTTGTAATGTTGACAGTGCTTCGACGGCCGAAGCAGTCATCGAGGCGGCGGAGATAAAGAAGGGTGGAGACTGCAGGGAAGACACATCATTGGCGCCGCGCATGCTCAGATGTGGCGTAATTGCGACTGCAGATGTCGCTCGTGCTGTTTCGCGCACGACGCTCCGTCGTTATTGGCCTCGAGGACATACCGTGGCGCCACCTACATGATGACGTCACTCATAGGATGCCGGGTTGACTTTGTCTGCTAGACCACAGTATTTCTGCGTTTTCGCTGTGGATACCGTGCGTTCTTACCTTTCTTTTGAAGCTCAGTGCTTAAGGAAGCGGTAAGACCTGATAATACGGGTAAGTAAACTGCGAATCGGTGCCCCCGGGAGCACTCTCGTGTCTAATTTGCATCGTAAAATCGCGAATAAGAACCGGTGCAGCCATGGGGGATCATGCAAGTGGTGTCCCGAAAGCAAAGCTGCCGTATTCCACAACTACGCGTCCTATCTGTGACGTCAAAACGGTCGCACCACTGGCCTCATTAGTGGAGGCCCTCGCGGCCAATAGACAAGCGAGTTGAGCACTGTACATGCGTTCCTGTATATGAAAACTCAACTTGCCGCGCAAGCTGAAGGACAGCAGAAAAATACGCCGAAAATCCGCCGTAAGCATATTCGCCATTCCCAACTCGCCGTTACGGAGTACGTATGTGCGATGACGCACACAGCAAACGTCGCTGCGTACTCTCCCTTTCTGTCATCGGCGCTACCCGTACACTCGGTGCCAATACGGCCAAAGTAGGGTGCAATCCATGGTGTCAGCCTGCACATGACAGCTACCATTGCCACTACGCTCGTCAGCTGAAGGAAAAATTAAAGGAAAAAAGAAACAGGATATTTTTGGGTGGTGACTAGTCCGTCTTCCTGGCGAGAGCGCTACAAACTGCTCATCGCTGTTCTCGGCGCAGTAAAAGCGATCTCGCTCTCCCACTGGAGAAAAGTGTTCTTATTTCCATTCACCCACTTAAACACGTCGACTATGAAGGCAGTACTTTCAGAGTACTTTCAGTGCTTTGTAATCATATTCGTAACGCGCAAATTCAGACGCAGATACAAGATACACAAGACGCGTGCTAGAGTCGTGTGTATGTGTTGCTTACTTGCGTCTGCGTCTGGTTTTCCGCGCTACGAATATGATTACAAACTACTCAAACCAACTTGCCCTCATCACCGCCTTTACTGTTGTTTAGTGATCCTGTTTTGCCAATGAGAATTCACCATTAGCGTTGGATAACGCTGCACTGCGCACTCCACATACGTTGTAAGGTGCAGCATACTTTATTACCATTTTGCCGTCACCCACCACGTGAGCATTAACCCTAGAATTCCGAACACAGAGGCACGGGGAGCCGCAACAGCCGCACTTCCGCTAGCGATGGCGTCGCACTGGAGCATTTTGGACACGGCAGTGAAGTATTTCCTGAAGATGGGCCTCTCCTTTTCGTACGAGTGCCTGCACTGCATGACGCCCTCGTCGACGCACCTGAGCGAATCCTTGGTGAGCCTGTGGAGAAGGTTAAACGGTCTTGACTCGTCATACAGCAGTCGCGTAGGTCGTTCTTGAAACACTGAAAGACTATTGGCACAAAATTTCGAAAGTGAGATGAGTCGTGAAGTAAGTTTACGGCCCACACAGTCATCATATATCAATATAACTTAAGCATACCCGAAATAAATTATACAGTGCGTAACGAAACGCACCACCTCAATCATCAGTCTGTTTGGCATTCCGCTAATGCAAAGCCATTGTGCAATACCGTATATCATTTCCCTTCGCTGCTGCTACGTCCAGTGGCGCCATCTCTCGATGACAAATGACAGCTCATAAACACGTAATCTGTTTTTTTTTTTTTTTGAGGTTCTGGGAGTGCTACTCGCTAAGCCTACAGCACCCATAATTTCAGTAAATCTCTCGGAAACTGTGCATAATCGACGCAACTGCCTTGCTGTGCATGTGTTATTGAATATGAATCAAAATCGAATGAAATAATCAATTTGGAACTGCTGTGCTACAAAATACACTACGGCCACTTAAATGATTTGAGGTGGACGGCAACTTTTTCTGGCACTGCGGCCATGTTTTTTCGGGCACGCGCATGCTCCGTTCACGTCCGGTGTTCCGGTACACGCAAGTATTTCTATTGGTTCAAGCTCTTGTACATCCGCCTTCGAGGAGGAAGTTTCATGGACATCTAAAGTTGTACCCGACAATATTCTAATGGAGTCATGAGAACAGAGTACTTACTTGCACCAGTGTTCCCGAGGATTTGTTCCGTTTTTCGGTTTTGTCATCGGGTTATCCACACATTTGTGCAAGCGGTCGTTGTTCAAACACAGCGAGAGCCTCACCAGAGCTGCAAGAGGTGGTCAGGTGTACAAAAACTTTTATTAAGATCAAGCCACAGCCTATGTGGTCATTAGCGCCGCAGGGCACAAGATGAGGGATTTACAAGGCACTTAGAAAAACTGGGTGCAGGTAAAAAAGTGATTCCCTATTAGCAAATGAAACCACAAGAGCGCATAGTACAGAGATGGGTCAGTAGCACGAAGTGCTACTTACCCTTTCGTGTTGTCTTCATTTGCATAGTAAGCAGAATGAAGTTCATTGTTGGTATGTTTGATACACTCCAGAACGAACATATGACATGGACATTTCTACCAGCTGGTGTTCTTTAACACGCACTGACATCGCACACATCCCGGGCTTCTCTATCATTTCGCCTCCATCGAAATCCGACCGCCATGACAGGGATCGAACCCCCGACCTTCGGGTATGCAGCAGGGCACCATAGTCACTGCTTCTACGCGGCTGACGCAGTAAGCAGGAAAAACACCGCTGCTTGATAGATGCAATGTTAGAGAACGGCTAATCAGAAGTTTCGCAATACTATCTACAACTTTTTCGATGTTCTTTTTAAACCCTGCTTCGTCGTTTGTAGAGCTAACAATTAAACACGCCGAGTGAGGCAATAAAGAAGACCAAAAATGTACTGTAACGTATACTCCAGATAAAAGTTAGCAAGGTGTATTTCCTCGCCTCGTCAATAAATGTATCAGCATATTTTTAAATTCTGGCTAGAGATTACTGGGGAATCTCGTATAACACGTTTGTACATTCATATATGACATACCAAAGTTACGAAGTGCATTCAATGCTTCTTGCTAAACAGGAAAAGAAGTAGCTAAGTATACTCAAGGAATTACCTCGTAAACGTTCTCAAGGATGACATGGACGACGAACGCATTGCCATGGTTTGTACTTACCGATAAATATCTATCGCATGAGTGATTTGCTATTTCAATAGTTGCTGACCGTAGGCAGTTATAGCTTTTAGAATAAAAAAGTTACAATATCTGAGATAGCAACCTTGAATGTGTCTTATTTATCATCCCGTATATAATTCCGATTCCTCGACAAAATGAAGTAATGTGCGTGCAGTGATACTTTTGAAGTTTTCACTGTCCATGGATGGGCCCAAGATCTGTGCTTGTGGATGTGGCCATCAGTTCGCGCGCACAATATTAATAATGATAATAATAATAAAATAATAATAATAATAATAATAATAATAATAAATAATAATAATATAATAATAATAATAATAATAATAATAATAATAAATAATAATAATAATATATAATAATAATAATAATAATAATAATAATATAATAATATCTGAGGTTTTACGTCCTAAAACTACCAAAACCACTAGTGTGCATTGTGCTAAGCTTCTTCAAGACGAACATCGGGAATGAAACTACATAGACCTACCTTGAAGAGATGGCGCGTCGCAGACGATGCTCCTTGTGTCCTTGTAGCCCTCCTCAGACCGCGTGAACTGGTCTCTGAAGGATTTCGGACAGTCCTTGATGATGAGCTCGCAAGTTGAGCCCACTGCAAAGAAGCTGTTCAAACGTACCAGAAAGGAGATTTATAAAAGACTAAAGGAAATTTTTCAGCTTGTTTGAACCAGTGGCATTTCGAAACTACAGACAATGTGCACACGCAGATTTGAAATGAAAGGGTTTGGTTCACATATCCAACAATTGTCATGTGGAGACTACTTTTGGCGACGTACGTTTATGACGTGAAAACTATGTTTTAGGTAATCATTACTCCACAGTAAACAGGTTGATCGACACAAAAACTAAATTGCGGGGGTACGTATTGCATGCCAAAGCCTTGAGACGATTGTGAAGGTTTGCTGTATCTGGGGACACTGGTTTAAGTTTGACTTGGGCGGATACAGCACTGAAAAACATAAGTGGACGGGCGTATTTTTTCAGTTAATCTCCATCAATATGCGGTAGCCATGTCTGAAATGCGAACCCACCTAGCCACAGCCACAGCAAACTTTGACAATCGTGTCGAGGCCTGGAATGCGAACCCACGCCCTTGTGTTTAGTGGAGCCATGCGATAACCACTAGAGTGAGAGAAAACTGTTTCGTTTTTAGGGTGGGTTATTGTCCTCAATCTTCCACTCAAATACGTTGAGCAAGGCAATGAAAGATAAGTCGCTTAGAAGATAGATTAATAAATCGGAGCAAAACGATTTCTGGTTGTGTATTTTGAATTCTTTGCAATGGCAAAACTCACAATGGATATTTTTGAAGCGTTCTTCCGAATTCTGTGGCTGCATTGCCCTTAAACCTGTAGGATCTATGTATGTGAAACATTTTTGAGCGCATCACGTAAATAAAGTACATTAATAATGAGTGCATAATAATTTACATATGAAAGTGTGCCCAAGGTGAAATATTTTAACTGGGAGGAATATATTTTCGTGGGCTTTCAGCGGCTTTAGTTCTTCTGTGTGCACAACTCCCTTTTATTTCTGCTGCCTTAATCGAGCAATAATTCGAAATTTACCCCAAGACTACACAAATATGTCTCACTATTGTGTGACTTAGGAATAACGTGACGTACTCCAGTGACATTGTTTTATATTAATTGCAACTAGCGTCTTACCCACGGAGTGGTCGGACCTCGTATTTCGTTTAATGACTAAAACGATATGCGTGCATTGTGAAATGTGTGCGCGCGTATTCGATCTCCGCAGATGCAGTTATTTGACACCTCACTTTTGATTACAATTTTGTCTAAGTGGTCACAACTTGTTCACTCGTATTATAATTTCGTTAAAACCCTTGCTCGTATAAGTTAAGAAATGTTGCGGGCATTATCTATCAGAAATGTTTCCGTGTACTTTCCCATCAACTGGCGTTCGCTTTGTTTTTAGTCGCAAAACTAAAATTAAATTCTAAATCATGATTGCGTCACTCACTTAAATTTGCCTGCACAGCAAACCGAGTGAGTTCTCGCACCAAATAAAGGATTGGGGAGTAGGACGTTGATGATATCCTTGAATGCTTGGTTTCATGTGCAAAAATGTTTCATCCGCTACTGCCGATGCCATCCCGAGATGCGTCTTGCTTGCAGCATTTGCTCTCACTTGCGTTCATATAATTGAAATTGCTATGTCTAGTATTCTCAGTATTTTCTTTACTTTTATCGCTCTGCGAACTTAACCTCCAAACCTATGTTCTTTTCACTTTTATTCCTAACTCACCAGCATTGCTTTCTTAAGTGAGAAAAAAAAAGCCCCACTTTTTTCATTGTTTGGCTGCATACTGTTTACCGGCAAATATCATGCTTTCATTCCTGAAACTGAATCCTTGAATAAACAGCGCGTACGCATCGCTGTAGAGTATAACATAGCATTTGTAAACATATTTAATTTAGCCATTTATTAATCTTCATATGATTTTTGTGAAACCAGGTGTGGAATTAAGGAACACTCCTAATAGCTGTTTCTGAGCGCTGCACAAAACATCGAAAACATTTAACCATTGAACAGCACGCAGACGCACTTCCAGTGAGTCTGATATAGGTTCGCAGGTGGTCTATGAGCAACCCTATGCATTCCAAAATTGCGCTTACAAAGTAGTGTCGAACTATGGATATAATAGAAATGACATCAATTGTTATTATTCAATCCTTTCAAGAACAGCAGTGTGTCCTCTGACGTATACCTGCACGCAGAGAGGTATGAAGTATCGTTGAAGCTCCGTCCGCATTCGGGAGCAGCTCGTCCTGAAACAGCACCGAACTGTACTCTCTGTAGCAGTTGAATACTTCCCCGCATTGCAAACTCCGGGTCTCGGTGAATCTACAAGTACATGAAAAAAAAACATACTTAGACACTACTTCGAATATTCTACGGACCTTATCATTTGTGGCGATTGGGCAACGCCCGGTCCATCAGCGAAATTAACTGCTCACCACTCGACTGAAGCTGGGCACGCTTCTCCAATCATGACTAGCGTGGCACTCGCCGAATCTAATTTTTGCTATAATGGAGGATGGAGGATATGCCTGGAAAGCGAATCCAAGAAACCGCCATCTTACCAGTGGCGAGATACGATTCAAGATACCGATTTATTAGAGATAATTTCTTGGGTCATGTAGTCCTCGACTCGTGCCTTAGTCTTACAGGTTTCCTTCAGAAGCCTCAAGATCCGGGCACGTTTTACGTCAAGTCATCCATACTCTTCTCGATAGATTATTTTCGCTAGAAACTAATACATTACCATAAGGATATATTTACGTTGAAGCCCATTGTCAAAGCTTTTTTCATAAGGAGCTGCACCCCTAAAATACTGCCGCATAGGATCTTTACAAGGTAATACAATGTGAAGGTCACATTCACGTGTTTTAAACATGGTGCTTGGATGCCTCCAGCTATCGACATCAGCAACAGCATAGTCGTTGGGTCATGATTTCCGAATGCTAGCCGAATGCGCCCTTTCCTGTCCTTATTCTGTAGTTATTTTGCTCTAATTTTCGGCTCCACGGGTACTAACTGCCTTTTACGAGTTCCCGTGTCTCGCCACCTATCGTACAGTGCTGTTCTCTGCCAATACTGTTGCACATTACTTTTTCTGTATGCATAATCATTTTCAGACTTACTCTTCTGCTTTCCGGGCCCAGTTCAGTAATAATAAGCTATAATTCGTCCCCTGAGTTACTCATCAATACAATGTCATCAGCGAGTCGCAGGTAACTAGGATACTTTCGTTTAACTATTATTCATAACTCTTCCCATTCTTGGGCCCCGAATCCGTCCTATTAAAAATGCGTCAAATAACACACGCAAGGTGGCGAAATAAAATTAGATGGGTACATGCAATTAAGAAGTTTGCAGGTATAACGGGGCAGCAAAAGGAGTGGGGCTGAATTGATTGGCGGAACATGAGAAAGGCCTTTCCCTACTGTAAACGTAGTCGAGGTGGTGATGATGATGACTGTGACGACCCAACACAATAACGTAGAACAGCTTTCGTAAGTTAAAGCGTGGCATTGATGACTAAAAGCTCTTGAGTGCCAATGTGACACTACAAAGCTAATAGCGTGCGATATTCTTTAATACTACTTATATACGCCGGAAGTAATCACACTAAAACACTATGCCATATCTATATGACAAGAAGAAAAAAAATTTGTTGATTAGTGCTTGCATTTAGCTTTACGAATCGATAGCCTCAATATATTTGTAGTGTTAGAGACGAAACGGTTCTGTGTAACGTGAAAGAGGCGACTGGGCAGGGACGTGCAGCACTGGTATTTAAATTACGACTAATTACAAGTAGATGATACCTGGAAGGGTAGAAGAAAAACACGTGACAGAGTAAATTATACATTTGGCAAAAAACGAAACCCCCTATTACTAAATAGCAATAGCTTCTAAAGATACATGAAACAGTGGCTCAATAACGGGAAAAAAAGTCACCCTCCGGCAGTGCGAGGTTCCATTACTCTAAATTATGGGTCATACGCAAAGCATATTTAAATGTTCGTAATAGCAAATACATGTCCGTATATTGCTCACGTTACCTATTTTTCTTGGAAAGAAAACCACTGCACCGATCTATTTGCTCAGTCTAAGTCGGCAACCTCCCTTTGTGCAGTGATCAAACATTTAGTGTGGGACTGTCCAACTGCGCAAAGGTGAGTGAAGCTGCATGTTGGAGGAGAAACTTCTTGTCACAGAGGAACGGGAAAATCTAACTCCCCCATCCTCCCTTCCCGCGCCTCTGAACCGTCGGTATCACTCAGAAATCATGAAAAGTCCTAGTGAAATACGGTAGCGAATATCACAAGGTGAGATCAAGATTTAGCACACAGCACCAGCCTTCTAGATGACCGTACGGTACTTATTTCTTTTCATGAACGTTAGCCACAAGATACATTTGTACTTAAATAGTGTTCCTGTCAGCGCTCATGGCATATCAGTCTCTAATAAAAATTTGCGGATAGTTTTTTTAGATCGGTGGTGCCCCTTAATTGTGGCCTCGAGTGGACATGCAGCGAACATTCAACAAAGGAAGCAAGAACACACAAAGGAAGCTCGAAGTGGTGAACTTATAACAAACGAGGCTTAACATCTCGATTACTTCTGCGGTATTTCTAATAATATAACTAGCCCCCTACCTGCATGTTTCACTGCAGATGTCGTTTAGAGACGTTGAAATACTCTGGAGGGAGTGAATAAAACGTTTATTTGATGTTGTGCGCGAAAAAATTGGTGAATGATACTCTGGAGGCGCTGCGCGAGACACGAGCGCCATCTGGCAGTAATCTTGCAAAACGAATGAATGGCCTGCGATATAGTGAGCGCGCATCGTGTGCGCGCAATCGCGGAAGACACAATTTGTAAAATGCAAAGCGACGGGATGAAGCCACCACAGTATCGTCTTAGCAAAGATCAGGAAACACCCGCCTTTGCGGCCCCGCCACGGTGGTCTAGTGGCTAAGGTACTCGGCTGCTGACCCGCAGGTCGTGGGATCGAATCCCGGCGGCGACGGCTGCATTTTCGATGGAGGCGAAAATGCTGTAGGCCCTGTGCTCAGATTTGGGTGCACGTTAAAGAACACCAGGAGGTCGAAATTTCTGGAGTCCTCCACTACGGCGTCTCTCAACATCATATGGTAGTTTTGGGACGTTAAAGCCCACATATCAGATAATGACATGTTCAAGTTGTGCCTCAGATACGCGCAATATTTCCGTTTAACCGAAAATACGCCCATGTATGAATGCCGAAATCAGGTCAGTATTGGTGGGCGCTGTTTCGTGTGACAAGCAGACATGTCAGATGGGCAAAACGTTTCCCGAAAAAGGCGATCGTCTTTAAAAATGAGTAAATATATAGATTTGCCATCTCCGGGAGTCGAACTCACGGTCTCAAAATGACACGTGACACTGGCTACGGAGGTTTTGATACGTCGCATTACTTGAGTAATGATGACCGCGCGTTAGCGCTAGCCCTAACGTTACTAAAATAATAAGTTAATTCTAGTAACGTTGCCCTAGCTTTCGAGGCGCGTTAACCGACTTTGAATCTTTTTAGCTATCGGCTAATGCAGAGTTTTACGGACCTTCTCTCTATATCCCCATGGCACCAGCAACAAATGTTATTGCTCTAGCCATTATATGTAGGCCCTTCTTAGCTACTTTGAATGAGCCTTATTATAACCTAATTTTACATTGTCGCAATATGATGAATATGCCTTGTTATATGACTTAAAACGTGGCTTTTGAAAAGTGAACACACAAATACATATGAGGAGAGTCGTGAGTGGATGAATTGAAGCACTGATGAAAGTTCTGGCCACGTGGTGGATCTTAATTTGTCAAGAGAATCAAGTGCACTCACGAACGCGTGTTTGGATATAACTAGCAGGTGGAGTTATGGCGTGAAAACTCCTACTCAAGTGACCGAGGAACAATGTGGTGGTGGTAGCGGTTAGAAGATGAGAAAAAGGCACCTAATTTCTGCAACCCGGTCGGGAGCACGGCGCAGTGCCTGAGGAACAATGTCTCAGCCAAAACTGCTTAGCTTGGCACGGTTCAGCTCTCCTCAGCCGGCCGACCAGTGACCGAAGTGTACGTCATCGTGACTCGAATAATGATGACTGGCGTCCCACTGAACTTTTCGTTCCTTATTTAGTCCACGCCAACTTACAGCAGAGAACACCGAGTGTTAGTTTTAGCACTTTACATTACTCCCTATGAGATTATTAATGCATTCAGATAGATTTTGAGTATCCCCTCATTTCTCATACCACTTCTGCCTCTTTTCACGACAATGTGTACTAGACGATGTTTTCAATTTTCCATTCAACGCGGTGAGATGAACAGATAAAAGGAGGTGCATTAATCAATGAGATAAAAACAGCTTGCATCAATTGTTGTACTGACATGCCTTCACAGTGCTTGTTAATTATATAACCGTAAAGTTTACTGAATGAAAACCATGGCTTGAAGAGTTAGGGCCGGTTATTAGGTTCTTCAGTCTTAATTGTCCTCGTTTTTTTGCTATACCAATCAATGTTTTCGTCAATGATTGTGTTACTGCACGCAGACGCGCGTGGGTGGGCCCCACAGGACGGCTGTTTGATCTCCCATAGTAGAGTACCAAGTACTCTAAATCGTTTACCACTTTTTCCAAACACAGTCGTAGAAGAGTACCGAGTACTCTAAATCGCTAACCACTGTTTCTAAACACACACATGGCTGTTGAAATGTTACTGACATCTGTGACAATCAATCTTTCTAATCGCTGTTTCTAAGTGCGGGATGGATTTTCGTTGTCCCATAGTAAAGTACCAGTAATATAATGCGTAAAAACTTTTTTCTAAACACACATACTCAGGTGGAAAAAGCCTTCATCAGAAGGTGGCATACACGATTTTTCTGGGGTGAGCAATGGGAATATTGAATTTTCTCTACTGCCGTTTTAAAAATCACTGGCAAGACAAAAAGAAATGTTGCTTTTATTCACCAATAATTCATGATTCTGTTTGAGCTTAGTGTGTTTTGTGTTTACTCTTCTCCTTATTTCCTTTAATGATTCGTGATGTGTTAGAGTATTGGAGTGTCGTAAGATACATTGCGTCTTTGTTCTCTTGTTTCTACGTGCCACTGAAATAATATTATTTTGATGCTGCAGACAGTTGAACTCACCTGAATAGCTGTTACTACTAGGCGATAAACTTCCCTGCTTAATTGTGATATGCACCTCTTTTGACAGAATTGCAGTTTTAATGTTTTTATCATTATAGAAACAAAAGAAGCATGTTGCTTCATTCTTACTGAAACACATGCA